ATTTTGATGACATGTCTCTTCTATTGTATGAAAAGTCATCAAAATTATGCAATAAAGTTTNTAACTACACGAATAAAACTAAGTATCTAGAGATAAAGATCTTTATTTTTTTTTGTATATCAGTATTGAAAGTTGTTATATAAATCGCTATATGTATATTTTTGAATAATTTATAACTTTCATACTTGATAAATTACCTATGTTAAGAGGAAATCCATCCATTATAAATAGGCAGAGCGTAGTAATTAATTTTCCTAAATTAAAATATTTCTTACAAAAGATATCGCTGGCAATTTATATGTATTATTGATCTAAGATTTATCATTTCAAAACTCTAAAACCGTGATCAAAATATATAAAGGATTCAAGTTCTATGGATAACACAATCTCAGCATGATTACAATCTGATTTTGACATCCTGAGTTTGACATTATAAAGAGCTTTTCAGTCAAGAACTGTTTATTCTCTACTCAAATGGAATATGACAGCTGATAATGACATCTATTTTAGAAGGATTTCTGTCGAGTTTTAAAAAATTTATTTTAAAATATGTTTTTCTTGATTTTTTTTATCGTTTTGATATGTATTAAAATATATTACATTAGTAAACCTAAAGAAATTTTTTGCCTTCCTAAAGTAATAAAAAAGCACAATATTTAATATTTTAAAATATTCTTAGCGCTAGAATACTATAGGAGTAATAAATTAAATAAATAAATTAATTCCATATGTTTAAAGATTAAAATTTATATTTTTGAAAATTTGTACATTTATTGAGGAGAGTTTGTGTCTAATTAAAGTTAATAGCATTTAATTTTATTATAAATGATAATAAATCTCGAAAAGCATTTTGAATATGCTTCAAGTTATCTAATGTTTAATTATTTTTTTAAGGTAAAAGTGTATTTAAAATTACATTTTTTCAGCCATTCGTTTTCACATTAAATTTTTAAGAAATAGTAAACAAGGAATTTTTGAAATTTAGTTTGATCGATTTCTTTGTACAATTCCATACATTTGATTTAATAACATAAACATTGTAATAGTTGAAGAAGCCTTTAGACCTTTCTTTAAATCTACCGTAATAATGAAATATTTCTAAAAGAGTGAAGCAAAAAAATAGTAACAGCAATCTGAAGTTATAAACTATGTGTATAAATACACATTGAAATATTGTTTAAAACAGAATAAGAAAATTTTGAATGTATGAAAGTTTATCTTTCATGTAATATGCTTAACATAAATTAGCATATAAAGCAGAATTCAGAAACATAGTATTAAGATTCTATTTAAAATTACGTTCTTTTATAAATACTCATTTGAGAAATAATAGAATTAAAAACTTAATGTAAATTAGAAAATTAAAAATATTAAATTATTAGGGCATCTGCCAAAATTTATATATTAAAATATATTTTTAAAAAATGAAATAATAATAATGGCATTAATATTATGTATTTCTGTTATTTCATTCAGTTCCATTACACTTTTTAATTATTTCTTTCTAATCAACAAAATTTAATTAATTATTATTAAAATTTAATTAATTATTAACTATTCATTTTTCATTGTAACAATTTTTTGAAAATTATATTATACAATACTTAATTAAATTAATCAAAATTGTTAATATTAAAATCAATTCTTATGTGACTGTTAGAATATAAGTAGAAGCTACAAAAATGTATGTAAATAATTCTTTATATATAGATTTTATCTTTATACATATATTATCTTTTAAAATATCATTACACCAATATTTATTTTATAATTTTTATTTAGTTTTGTTATAGAGTATTTGATATATCTTATAATAATTTGGTTTAATAAATCATTATTTATAAGTAGCTATAAATTATGCACAAAAGAAAAGACGGAAATAAATTATATACGTGGCATAAAACTTCCTAAAGCAAATTAACTTGCATACGTATTTGCATACTTTTAAAATCTCATTAATGTAACTATAAGACTTCATTATTCAAATAAGATATTTTGTTGCTTATGTAATTCATCAATTTACTTCAATTTTCGTTTAGGAAATGAAGAAATATCGAACAGAAAGAAAAAATTTCTTTAACACAAGATAGCGTGTCGGATGTGCACAGGCCATTGTTGATTTATTGATGACGTCCTTGTTTTCATGGATCTCGCCTTTTAACTTTTACACTTATTCTGCTTTATCTTTCCTTTCATGATTTTTTCGTATTCTTTGCTCCATTGACTTCCTATTTCTTTTACTAAAAGCGTTTCATTCCCTTGTGATTTTGGTTCCAAAAATTTCTTTTGCAAACGACTTACTCTTTCCTAAAGGGATTTTGGTTTCCTGCTGATAGGATTCATGTTTCAAATTGCTTTTGAAGCTAACATTTTTTTGAAAAGTTTTCAAATTAATTTTAAATCAATATGATATTTAAAAATCTAAATNTTTAATAAATCATTATTTATAAGTAGCTATAAATTATGCACAAAAGAAAAGACGGAAATAAATTATATACGTGGCATAAAACTTCCTAAAGCAAATTAACTTGCATACGTATTTGCATACTTTTAAAATCTCATTAATGTAACTATAAGACTTCATTATTCAAATAAGATATTTTGTTGCTTATGTAATTCATCAATTTACTTCAATTTTCGTTTAGGAAATAAAGAAATATCGAACAGAAAGAAAAAATTTCTTTAACACAAGATAGCGTGTCGGATGTGCACAGGCCATTGTTGATTTATTGATGACGTCCTTGTTTTCATGGATCTCGCCTTTTAACTTTTACACTTATTCTGCTTTATCTTTCCTTTCATGATTTTTTCGTATTCTTTGCTCCATTGACTTCCTATTTCTTTTACTAAAAGCGTTTCATTCCCTTGTGATTTTGGTTCCAAAAATTTCTTTTGCAAACGACTTACTCTTTCCTAAAGGGATTTTGGTTTCCTGCTGATAGGATTCATGTTTCAAATTGCTTTTGAAGCTAACATTTTTTTGAAAAGTTTTCAAATTAATTTTAAATCAATATGATATTTAAAAATCTAAATATATAATTGGAATAAGTTTCAATTTTCTTTTCAATATATTTTAAATTAACTTCATTCTACAACTTCACCATAAAATTGACCAAATTCAAGATTATTGAGAAAAACTTATTTACCGTATTGAATATTTATATATATATTTACAATTTAAGTAACTAACCATAAGAATTATAATTTAAAAACAAATTTTTTATCAAAATTTTACAGAAAATAATAAGATAATAAAAACTTAAATCATTCCATGAAATAGGCTAGAAGCCAGAAATATGCTATATGTTATCAACGATGACTAATACATAAAAAAATTAAAGTAAAATAACAAAAGAAAAAAAAAACAAAGAAACTGGAAAATAAATAGTTAAATAAAATCTGGAAACATTTTGTATTTATTTTTTTAATACTTCTCTTCAAAACTATATATATAATGTTTAATTACTTTTATACATTAATTGCATAATTTAAAAATATTTAAAGAAACTAATATTTTTAAGATAATAAATATTTTTACTTACAAAAAAAATCTCAAAATAAAAGCCAATTTTAATTAATATGTTAATATACTTCTGTTCCAGGTTTTGAGTCTAATATCCGTATTTAGCATTTAACATACTTTAATTATTTATATTAATACTTTACCACGTAATTAATAATTCAAGTGTCATTAATTACCATTATATAACAATTAATATGTAGCAATTTATATGTTAATTTAAACGCACAAAAAGTCAGCTTTATGTAGATCGATCTCTCAGATTACCACCTACTATACAATTTAAATACAAATAATGCCTTTTTTTCTCTTTCTTTTAATGAAAGAAAAAATTAGAAGACGACAAAATTACATGACTGCATTATTATTTTAAACTGATTCTTTCTGTAATTTTAATATACATAGTTATAATTAAAACTGAATTTTTAATTATTTATAGTTCGTTTTATATATTTTTAAAACTTTTTACAAAAAAAAATGTTTGTATATACACTTGCTAAAGTTATCAATTCAAGAATTATATTTTATTATTTGTGATTTTTTTTGCAATAGAATTTTAAATAGCCATATATTCTATTTATTCTAATTTTTAGACATTTAAGTTCACAAGTCGAGCGTACATTTCCCAGAGAAGGATAAATGTCTCCAAATATCGATTTACTCTTACAAGTGAATGTCCTCATAGTAGTAAGGCATCTCTTCTGATATGGAGACTCTATAGCTTATAAAAATTGCGCTTCTTTGTTGCTACATTGATAGTTTCTTCGCAATTCTTCTAGAAACCCGTCATAGTTCGGAAGAAGTCTCCATTAACTGAAAAGAAATATTAGTTTTTTTGTTCTTTTTTTGGTAACAACAACAATTTTATTTGCGCAAATAAGTTATTTAGATTGTAGTTATACAGAATAAATATCTAACATAAAAACGGTTGAATGATAAACTAACGTAAAATGTGATAAGAGAAAGAACATTAACGATCGAAGAAATTCATTAGTTGAGTGTTCCTGATAACAACCTAACAGAATTTAATTTTCATTTTAAATCTCGTGAAGCATTAAACAGAAAATGGAGAAATGTGAGAATGAATTATGGTCCATCTAAAATGTCGTACCTATTAATATTCGAATAAATTTATAAATAATTAATAAATAAGAGTTCACGTTATGCATATAAATGAAGTATAAGGTTATAATTTCTTAAGTGGTCTATCGACTACAGATAATTCCAAATGAATTTAGACTGGTTTATTAGATGAGTTTAATATTTTCTATTATGTTTTAAAAGAGACAACAAATAACAGTTAAATTTTATGAAATATTGCTTATAAAATGTATGAAGAATAATTTATTGTCAATGAACTAACATTACATTTGTAGATGAGCTATTAAATAATTATCAATATATAATATTATTACTAACATGTCAAATATTGCATTTGAAATTGGTATCATTACATAATTAATGTTATATTTGTATGTAGCCCCATCTGGCGGCCAGAGGCTGGAAGCTGCAGATGGACATAGACCATCGAGTAGCCAAGCAATGAAGAGGTCTCAAGTTCGTAGACATCATACAATTACATCAGAACATCCAATGCATGCTCCTCCTCCAGCTCAACGCTCAAATATGGATATCGAGGTACCGTTATAGTTTGTGTCTTTCCTTACTGTATTTAGTTTACAATTAAAAGTTCGGTAATAAAGTTATTCGTTTATTTTTCTGATAATTATAACAGTGAAGAAGATCCTCAAAGTTCACTGTTTGAATTGGATACATTTTAATGTTTTGTAATTTAACCGAAATGACTTTTCTATAGAGATAATACGAACGAAAATGATTAAATTGTAGAGTTGTATCTTATTGTACCACAAGGAGGATGCAATAATTTGAAAGAGTGATTTATTTTAATCACTTTTAATAAGGTATTTAATAAAATATATAGTGTGTACGTCTCAGTCTTAATTTTTATAGTTTAAATTGTCGTTTATTTGATGTTTTCTTTTGTATTAAAAAGACAAACATTAATTCCAGAAACTAAGTATGGTTTGATAAAAAAGTTTGTTGTTATATTTTGTAAAAGTTTTTTAAAGAGCCTATTTTATCAATTTCTCTTGTTTAATTACACCATAAAAACAAAGAAAGTTATTTTTCGATAGTAAACATTTTAAATTAATCTATAGTTTGAATGTAGAAATTTTGTCTACTTTAAATTTTATAGTAATATAATATAAAAATATTTCAACTTCAAATTGATATTTAAAAAATCGATATATTTAATATAAACCAATATTCAGATAAGGCAAATGGAGTTTTGAAGAAATAATTGTGATTTATTAATTTTAGAGAAATTGCAAATAGCTGGTTTTATACTCTTCAAATATTGATTTTACCTGCCTAAAATATGTTTTAGATATTTTGTAAATATTTCCTTAGTTCTTTTTCATTTTCATTATTTCGTTTTCATATTTTGATGCTAAATAAGCGTATACAGTTTTGAAATTTATTAAATTTAATCATTTTTTTTCAAATTTTCTAAAAACTCTATTCTCATTCAATTAAGTGAGTTTTAAATAATAGTTTTAAAAAATAAAAAAGCTTATTTAAAGTTAATTCGATAGCTGATTTAATTAAGAAACTAATCAGTGTAAATAAAAATGAGTTGACAGTAGACTCTAATTAGAACTCATTTTATATTTTACGTGTTCTTTCTATTACGTATTTAATATGTATTAATTTTTTATTAGTAGTTTAGTAATTAATGATAAAATAGTTATTTTTATTCGCTTGTTGTATGTTTATCTTTTCCGTAATTTAGTAAGAAACTGTGAGAAATAGAGTTAAAATTTGCTTTCTGCAGAATTTTATATCAAATTAAGCTTTCATTTATCCTACTTTTTTAGAATTTTGTTATAGTAGTTTTTAATAATATTATATGACATTATCCAGATGTTGCTTATTATTATGTGTATTATAAAGTAAAAAATATTTATAAATAAAAATAAGCAAATTAACGAGACAAAATGTGTTCAAAATACCTCTCAATTGAATGGCACACAATCTTATTTCAATGTAAATTTTTAAATTAACTGTTGCATTAAAATAAATTCAGCAATTAAATTTTAAAAACGTTATGCTGGCACTATTATTTCTATTACTGAGATTATAATATGAGATTAAAATATGGTTGTTGCAACTTTTTATGACTTGTGATTTTACTGATAGCGATACAATAGAATGCTTTTGTTCGCGGTTTCTCTGATTCTTAAATTCGCTGTTTCTGCTCCTCTTTCCTATCTAATATATCTTATACACATTTCTAACTTGCTTAAGGCAAAAAATAAATTTTCTTCTATCTCCCTCCTTTTCTATGTGCTTCTAAACTTCTTCCAAATAATAAAGTTTCATATCATTAAATTGGAAAAATGAAAACTGTATATTGTTGTAGATGATGAATGATTGTTTTATATTTAAAAATATGCATAAAAATTTTGTTTTTTATTAATATTATCATAACTTTATATTAATTTAAAATCATTTTTTTTTTAATTTACACTTCGAAATGATAAATATTTTATGATTATTCTTTCTTTTTTTCAGGCAGTAGATTTCTTTTAAGAACTGAAAACACTGCGAAAAAAACTAAAAAAATCTTAAAATTTCAGATAAATTAAATCTTAAGATTAAATATAGATCCTTTTCTTTCTGGATCAGATTAAAGTGATAGATTTTAATAATTTATTGATGGAATATATCTTTATAATATACTATTATAACAGTTATTTTCACAAATGCGCCATCTTACAAAATGACCCAAAGGCTATCTTACCTACCAAGCATTGCTTTATTACAACTGAATGACGACGTATGATGACTTTCAACTTCAATGATCTTTGCTTCATGGCAAATACCGCGGAGGGAAATTGACTGATCTTAAACTACAGTTCTGAAATAATCAGACTTTTTACTTTTCCGACTCTGTCATCGCCATATTTTCCATCTGTATATAACAGATGGAAAATATGGCGATGGGCAAAATATGATCCACTAAGGTTTCTACATTTTTGAACTTAGGGCAACTTGAAACATCGCAAAAATGCGAAAACTTTGTGTTTTTTTCTGTACGTATTGATGGGGATGTGTGTGGGGGGCACGATTTTGTTTACCCTCTTTGAAGCTTAATAATTCCTGTGATTTTTGTCGAAAATTTCTGAACTTTTGCAGGGTGGTTTGTATAGTAGAGAGATTGATGCTATTTAGTTTTGGTGGTTAAAGGTCAATGGGGTAGGAAGATAAAGGAGTCGTAGTAGGGTCGGACTTAATGAGGATTTTACTCGTTATCAGCATTTATAATTTTTTTAAACTCATTCCTATCCTCAAAATTAAGCTTCTTGGCATTTTATAATAATTAAAAATATAAAAAGCTTTTAATAATAAAATATCATAACAGACGGCGCCACACAAGCAGTTTTAACTGTTACCGGAAAAGTTAAGCAACTCGTTGCTGGCTTTTTTTACAAAGCTATCTAGAGGAGGATAGTGTGTCAAATCAACTCAAAGACTGGAAGGACTTGAGTGTGAAGTATTTATTTCGAGAGACATTTTTCAAAGTGTGATTTAAAATTTTGGGATAGGATTGAGAAAGATCGAGATTAAATTCGAAAGTAAGATAAACATATTATTAAATATAGCTTCAAATGCTGATATGAATGCAATTTGAGTATGTTTTGTACAACTTACAGTTCAATTGTGATAAGGCATTAAACTTGGTAGATAGATATTTTGATTATCTAGCATAAAACGAGTAAATTAGTTGTTGTACTCCTTGATTACAAATAAAATTTAGGTACTAAAATTGCATTTAATTAACATTTAGATTTTGATAAGTATTCCATTAATATACAGGGTGTATCAGTACAGAGGTTACAAACTTTCAGGAGAGAGAGAGTACACCTAGACGATGGGAAATCACATAGCAATGCATGGTCGGAAACACTTTCCTGGCGCGGTAGTGACGACACAAAACACGAGAAAGGAAGGACACGAACAGGGTGAGAAAACATGTTTATTATTCTTAGTACAGCAAAAATGCTGGGACGTCTTTGGCTAGTGCACGCAATAAATGTCGCTACGTAAACCGAAACATCAGATGACGTTCCATGTGCGCAAGAATAATAAACATTTTCTCACTCTGTTCGTGTCCTTCCTTTTTTGTGTTTTATGCCGTCACTACCTCGCCAGGAAAGTGTTTCCGATCATGCATTGCTATGTGATTTCCCATCGTCTAGGTCAGCGATTCCCAACCTGTGGTACGCGTACCCCTAGGGGTACGCGATAGGTTGTTTAGGGGTACAGAAAAAAGTTAGTTATTATGGCAGAAAAAATAATATATTATGTATCACAAACTAATAGTATTAAAAAATTATTAGGTAAAATATGTTCCTTGCAACAATCATAACTTTTTATACATTTTTTCATTTATTTTTTTTTTCTTTAATTTAAAGTTACAATATGTAAAATTAACAATACAGGTACTCACTAAATTTCTTAAATGAGGGGTACAATCTAGAGATATGACATGTCACGGGGTACGCTAATGAAAAAAGGTTGGGAACCACTGGTCTAGGTGTACTCTATCTCTCCTGAAAGTTTGTAACTGCTGTACTGATACACCCTGTATACTTTCTTGTTTATTATCTATTTATACATGCAAAGGGGTTATTATTAGCCTATCGAGTATCTATTTAGACACGTTGCTAGCATATATTCCCTTCTCATATCTTCTCTAGTGTATTGTTGATTTACATTTTTGACGATAGTTGGTTATTGACAATAAGCAATACGTAATTTTTGGCCGGATGGCTGATGAGTCAAGGTGACAACCTACTATTCTGGGGGACCCGGGATCGAATCCACCCCGAAAAATTCCTGGGGATTTTTTGGGGGTGGATCGTCCAGATATGTCAGACCCCGTCCCTCACCACATTATGGGCCTGGCCGAATCCATAATGGGCTTGCTAAAAAAGAGATCCTCTTAGTGCCCACAGAGCGGAAGGAGTTAAAAAAAATACATAATTTTCATGTAATATTTTTTTTCTTATATAATAAATTATATTTATAATTTTTATTTAACATATAACATTTACATTCCATTATATATCAAAATTTCGATTTTTTAAAAAGAAAATAAATACTATTTCTTACATTCAAATAAGTAATAGAAATCGGATCTTTAAATCGTAGTGTGCAGAATATCAGTCAAGCATTTCGCACATTAGGCTGTGATTAGGAAGGGTCTTAGGCAGAGATTCCACTAGCATAAAAACCCTCGCCGTAATTACTTTTAATCACGTCACCATGATATTTTACACGTAAAACAAGTAGAGCAGAGTCTTTCGACGTGAATACGTCCGTAAAACGCAAGAATAAAGAATAAAGCAGTAAATAATTAGACAGATAAAGAAATTGATTATGCAATATCAAGAGTATACTATTATTTATAATTTATCGGGATTCTGTGAAACAAACTTGCTTAATTTTTAACGCAAAGTTCGAAATTGCATAAAAAAGAATTATGCATCCTTTGTCCCAAACGTTCGCGAACTGAGCTTTTTTCTCTGGAATGACAAACATAAATGAAACCTACTAAGTTCTTCCTCTAAAATAGTATCCTCGTACAGCGATACAATAATTCCAACAATGTTGAAAATCCTCCAAGCAGTTCTGGAACTCCTCTTCCGTAATGGAGTTGTATGTACGCAGCCCGATGAATATCGCCCACATTGTTGAAATTCCTGCCTTTCATAGACTGTTTAGACAGGCGAGGAAGCATTGTCACTTGTTTTCCAGCCAAGAGGTCGAGTTATCATGAAGGCATTGTAGTCGTGATGCCTTCTTCATGATAACGCGAGACCTCATATCCCTAATGCACTGGCGGGCTGGTCAAGCTTAGGAAGACAGCGTGGGTCATTCTGCAGCATAGTTAATCGTCATGAACATCAAATATAGACCTGTTATAAGCTGGTGCTTACTGATTGATTAA